GTTCTGACATGTTATTTCTATTGTTTCATTCATTTTTTTCTTCATCTTTTTGTTTCACTCTGGGAATTTCTATTGACTTATTACCATCTTTCTCAGTTGTGTCAAGTCTACTTATGAGGCATTAAAGGAATTCTTCATCTTTGAAGAATCTCCATCTACTGTGGAGATTTTCTTGCTGTTTGTTTCTAGTATTTCTATTTGATCCTTTCTTAGAGTTTACATCTCTCTGCTGAAATTCTCCATCCTATTCTATATGTTGCCTACATTTTCACGAGCTCCTTTAGTATAATAATAATAGTTATTTTAAAGCATTTCTCTGTAGTTCCAACATCTAGAGTTTGGTCTTGTAATCTGTTGATTACTTTATTCTTTGATAACAGGTTATTTTTCCTCAATTTATTTTGTGCTTCATTATTTTTTATCAAATATTGTACCTTGGATACAAAATGGTAGTTCTTAATCAGAGTGATTTATCCCCACAATAAAAATTATCAGGTCCAAATCCCAATAGTGCTGAGGGTGAGAAATCCCAGTGTAGAGATTGAAGTAAATAGCATTCATACTTGAAAATGGGCACACTTTTGTCAGGCCATTAGTATGGGGAATTGAGGTCAGTCTGGGCAGGGGTTAGCTTGATTTTGGTTTTATCGTTGTTCTGTTTATATTCAGTTGACCACGGGATTCAAATTCCTTTACCAGTGAACTGATGTAAATTTCTGTTTAAGAGGATGGACCAGGGTGCTCAGGGGTGAGGTTTTCTCAACATTCTCACCACCCTCATGGCAAGCCCCCGGCATTGTATCTGTGATTGATCTTGGCTGGAAGTGTTCTCCCCCTTTTCCAGTGGTAACTAACCTCTGCTTGGTATGACTATAGAATATTTTCTGAGTCCATGAGTTTCCCCTGCAGCAATGAATTTTTACTGACCCTCTTTGGAGGATGAGAGGATTTCCTGTCCTTTTTGGATTTGAATTTGGATTACTAGGTTTTGTTCTACTCTTTCCCTGGCAGCAATGGATCTTTGCCTGTGCTGAGAGAAAGAGAGCTAGAGATAAATTGATATTAAGATTGCTGCTTTTGCTTCTTGCTTCTAGGACAGAAAGGTCTAGGCCTGGAAAGGGATGTTCATCCTGCAGCCTGAAGGCCTTCTGCTGATCTTTGTGAGGACTTTTTTTGCCTATTTGTGGTACTGGATATCACAAAAAGTATGCATCAACCTTTTCTTAAATTTCTTCTTTTTTTTTGGCTCATCAGCTTTCATTGATTTTTTTTGTTGTTGTTCGTTTGTTTGGGGGGTTTTTTGTTTGTTTGTTTGTTTGAGAATGAGTCTCACTATGTCACCCTCAGTAGAGTGCTGTAGCGTCATAGCTCACAGCAACCTCAAACTCTCGGGTTTAAGTGATTCTCTTACCTCAGCCTCCCAAGTAGCTGGGACTGTAGTAACCTACCACAATACCCAGCTATTTTTTGGTTGCAGATGTCATTGTTTAGCAGGCCTGGGCCAGGCTGGAACTTGCCAGCCTTGGTGTATGTGGCAGGCACCCTACTCACTGAGCTATGGACACCGAACCTCACTGGTGTTTTTGTATTTAATATGTGACCCAAGACAACTCTTCTTCTTCTAATGTGTTGCAGAGGGAAATAAAAAAAAGTTGGACACCTTTGGCTAGGGGAAGCAGGTAGAATTTGTGCCTGTTCTCCAGCAGCTGGGTTCCTGTCCTATGGAGAGGCCTCTTTCTAGTCTCTTTGCCAGTCCCCATCTTTCTTGTGAAAAAAGGTTTCTGGTAGAGGTTTATAAAAAAAAGGGTATCTGGGTGGGGTGGCTCATGCCTATAATCCCAGAACTTTATGAGGTAAAGGTGGGAGACTCTTGAGGCCAGGAGTTTGAGACCAGCCTGAACAACATGAGACCCTCAGTCTCTAATTTTTTTTTAAAGGGCTTGCGAATAAATGTAAACTCCCTTTGTATATGATGTTTCCAACTACTCCAAACTGACATATTAACCCACACTTGGCCTTTAAGAGTTCATTATCATTTTACAATTTCCTGCTGCCAGCTTGTATGGCAGCCACCTCTTTCTCCTGTGTTCTCTCTCTCTTTAGAAAGGCTTGCCTCTCTTTGCAGTTTAGTTTATTTGGTTGCCTTGCAACTTCAGCTCTGTGATGTGCTTGAGAGAAGTTACAAGCTGGCTACAGTGGCTCACACCTGTAATCCCAGCACTTTGGGAGGCCTACATAGATTACTGGAAAGCAGGAGTTCAAAACCAGCCTGGGCAACATAGCAAGACCCCATCTCTACAAACAGCTGGATGTGGTGGCAGGAGCCTATAGTCCCAGCTATACTTGGAAGGTTGAGAAGGGAGGATTTCTTTTTTTTGTTTTGTTTTGTTTTGTTTTTGAGACAGAGCCTCAAGCTGTCCCCCTGGGTAGAGTGCCGTGGCATCACAGCTCATAGCAACCTCCAACTCCTGGGCTCTGTGTGCTCAAGGGAGTCTCCTGCCTCAGCCTCCCAAGTAGCTGGGACCACAGGCACCCGCCACAATGCCTGGCTATTTTTTGGTTGCAGCTGTCATTATTGTATGGCGGTCCTGGGGCCAGATTTGAACCCACCACCTTAGGTGTATGTGGCTGGCACCTTAGCCACTTGAGCCACAGGTGCCAAGCCAATGGGAGGATTTCTTAAGCCCAGGTGTTCAAGGTTCAAGTTCAACAGCTATGATTGTACTCCAGCCTATGCAACAGGGTGAGATCTTGTCTCCAAGAGGAAAAAAAAGGAAGTTATGATTTTCCAATTGTGTAGATTATCCAGCTTTTTCTCACTATTTTGTTGGGAGTAAGAGTCTTTGTAGCTTTCTACATTCTAAGCCCATTTCCAAAATCTTTATTGAATATACATTATGTCATTGTTCTAGGTGCTGGGGACAGAGTAGACAAAACAGATTTTTTTTTTGAGACAGAGTCTCACTACGTCGCCCTTGGTAGAGTGCCATGGCATCACAGCTCACAGCAACCTCAAACTCTTGGGCTTAAGCGATTCTCTTGCCTCAGCCTCCAGAGTAGCTGGAACTACAGGCGCCTGCCACAGCACTCAGCTATTTTTGGTTGCAGGTGTCGTTGTTTAGCGGGTTCTCAAACCCTCTAGCCTTGGTGTATGCGGCCAGCGCCCTACTCACTGAGCTACAGGCGCTGAGCCAACAAAACAGATTTGATCTCAAGAAATTTATCATCAAGAGGAGAAGCAAATATATATATATATATAATATTATATGTAATAATATCGGGAGCTAATAAGTTCTATGAAAAACACTGAAGCAGATGAGAGAAAAGACAATGCCAGCATATGAATGGCGCCTACCCCCATCTGCCTATCTGTGTAAATACTGCCTGTATATTTAAAAGTCCCAGCGGACTTTTTCACTTTCAGGGGAAAGTGGACTAGGCTGCCCTAATTTGATATCTAACAGAGCAAGACTTCAGCTCCAAATAGTAAATGGGGCCATCAGTCCCATTCCTAGCAGGAAGGTTACCACAGCTCTCTGTACACATGCCAGGTGTTTTGTATAAGGACAAACTTGTAATGGACACAAAGTATAGGGCTATACATGTTGACGCAATTTAAGGAAAAATGTTCAAACAGAGCTGTCTGCAAAAGGTGTTGTTCTTTTTTTATTTTTATGTCGCCCTTGGTAGAGTGCTGTGGCGTCACACAGCTCACAGCAACCTCCAACCCCTGGGCTTAGGTGATTCTCTTGCCTCAGCTTCCCAAGTAGCTGGGACTACAGGCGCCCGCCACAACGCCTGGCTATTTTTTGGTTGCGGTTTGGCAGGGGCGGGTTTGAACTCGCCAGCCTCGGTATATGGGTCTGGCGCTCTACTCACTGAGCCACAGGCGCCGCCCAGTTCTTTCTTTTTTTGCAGTTTTTGGCTGGGGCTGGGATTGAACCCTCCACCTTCTGCATATGGGGCCGGCACCCTACTCCCTTGAGCCACAGGCGCTGCCCAAAAGGGTGCTGTTCTAGATGGTACTAAATTTCCCTTCCTTGGAAAAGTTCCAGCTCTGGATTTTGCGTTCACATTCTCTGTGTGCTTCCACCTTCGCCAGCGGGTATCTACGCAGGCAGGTTAAAGGGAACTTACCTAACTGCTAAAGGCAAGGCCAGCTCCACAGGCTTTGGCAGGACTCATCCTGCAGCTGCTCTGATTCTTCATCTGTTTCCTTTGTGCAGATGAGCAAACCACGCTGTAGAGGGTGACTTAACCAAAGGCCACAGAGCGGGAAGCGCTGCCTGGGCTGGGTTGGGCCAGAGTATTGCACTTGAAGCCCAAACCTGCTTTCCTTTCATTTATCAGCCAGTCTTAGGCATCATTTCCAGCGGCCCCACACCACTCTAGTAAAAACGGTTTAATCCTTCAGCTGGTAATGTTAAAGGATTGGATGCAGCCCAAGGCACTGAGGTTGAAGGTCACCTTCAGGTCTAGACCTAATCGGTTCTGACTGAGCGCTTTTTGCCTCAGCCAAGGCTGCTGTCAGTCCACCGCTGTTACACCCCAACTCATACTTTCATAAAACCAATTTTCAGGTTTTTTATAGCCTGTGCCTCCCACATTGGGCTTGGCCAGACCTAAGGGCAAGAATTAAAAAAGGAAGGCGAGTAGCAGAAACCCGACGTTTGAGCTTGAGCCTTTCCTATTGGGTTTTGGGGATGGTAGGTGGGCCCCTTCCCCTCAAGCCTAGTCCTCTTGCCATCGGGGTGACCCGCTCTGCCGCCCTCACGGGTGGATGTGAGAACCTTGGCCATGGAAGCATTCCGGCAGCGAAATGGAGACCAACCATCCGAACGGTAGGTGGATCTTTGTGCGTATAGTAGAGACTCCTACTCCAGCCCGGTTTCGCCTGTCACTACCCGCACGAAGGCTAAAGGCTCGGAAAAGGCGCGCGAATCCTCTGCGCATGCGCCTGCAGCTTCGGGGCAGCTCCCGCTAGGGCCCCTGGGAAAGAGCGGCCGTGGGCGGGGTTGTGGGTGTGGCCTAGTCGTCACGCGCGGCCCCGCCCCATCACCCTTCGTCGCTCTCTGGAGGCGGCAACCGCTAGTCGTCAGCCCTTCCCGGTTGTTCTGGCCGGCTGCACCCTGGTTCTCCGGTGACAATGGGGGACCCCAACAAGCAAGACATCCTGACCATCTTCAAGCGCCTCCGCTCCGTGCCCACTAACAAGGTAACCGCCGCCGGGCGTTCTTGCGGCCTCCCTGGCATCCCAGCTGGACGTCGCGGGCGCTGGGGGCCGCGGCCAGCCGTGGGAGGAGGAGCCGGCCGGGCCTGTGACACGTCGCACTGTGGGGCCGCGGCGATCTGGGCCCAGACTGGGTCGGGACGGGCGCCGCTTCCCAGCTCCACGAGGGGGATGGGGCAGGGGGCGCACACCGGGGGAGCAGGACAGGCTCCTAGGGCCTGGAGGGCGAGAGGCCCGAGCGCTCGGTCTGGGCTGGGGACACCTTGCTGGGGAGCAGACGCGAGTCAGGGGGTTGACACGTGTGAGTTACCTGGGAGCCGGGGTAGGGCTGGCACCTGGGGGCTCTGAGGGAGGGCAGAGACACCTGGCTTCAGCGAGTGGGGAGCGAACAGCACACTCCGACCCCCGCGGGAAGCAGACCCAGTCAGACGCTCCAGCTGGTAGCTCTGGATGCGTGGGGAGGCTTGACTCGCCCCCTAGACCTCGTGGAGCTCGCCCCTAAAGTTCTCTGGTGGTGCCTGTTGAGCCTGGTCGACTGCCTTTGTCCTTTGCCCTTTGCTGGCAGCCTCAGTTTCCCTGTCTGATGAAGCTGCTGGAGGGATTCCAGCTTCTCTTTCTTTTGCTAAGAAAGTCCACCGCAGATCCTTCCCTTTGCTTCCTTCTTGGACTCTCTTGGGAATTCGAGTTCTCCCCATTTTGTCCAGAAGATGCCCGCCCCCTGCCATAACTTTTACAACTTTGCAAAGCTGTTTAGAAGTGTTGTGATGACACAGGGGGCTAAGGTGACACTCTGGGCTGAGGCTCACTGGTCAGAGAGGAACCTAGAGAGTGCAAAGGGCTGTCCTGTCAGTGTGGACTCTCCTCACCCCTCCTGGGACAAGAGTTCTGTCTGGTCCCTACTGACTCCTCCAAAGGGGACAGCTGTTAATAAGCATGGTTGTGAACCTTGACGTAATGGCATAGAAAGTTCCTGAGATTAACAAAATTTAGGTGTTTTTGTTGGTTTTAAGTCTTGATGGTAGAGGGGAGCTCACATTTTTACAGCCTAAGAGAAGGGAGTAGGGGACAGTTTATTGGGGGAGATATGTGATGGATGTGGGAGAGTTAAGATGACAAAGGCTCCGGAAATTCTCCATTGCCCCTGTTTCTTTACTGTTTTCTTGACTTATGGATTTGGATTGGTCTGTTTTAAAGAGTGGTTACTGTGTAACTAGGTAAGATTAGGATCTGTAGTTAGCAAGATGTGAACTATATTTTTTGTCAGCTTTACTTCAAAACATATCAACATGTGTTCTCTTTGAACTGATGGAAGGGAAAGTGCCCCTTTTAAATAAGAAGTCAGTGTCTTTGTATCGAGAGCCACTTTTGAGGGACATGCTTATAAATTATTATCCAGACTCTGCTGTTTTCTAGCTATGTCACCCTTGAGGGGGTTACTTAACCGCTTTGTACCATATTTCCCTCATCTGAAAATGGGGATGTGAACAGGACCTAACTTTGAGTTGGATAACAATAAGCATTTAAAAATTGGGGTCATGAAAAAGAACTAAGATACACGAGACAAGAAAGGTAGTTAAAGAAAAACAAGTTGGTTTACTTTTAGAATATGGTGTCTAATTTCTTCCTCTCTTGTGTAAAGATTTATTTAGTCTAGATCAAAGGTTTTAACTCATAAGCGGCAGTTTTCTAGTTGGTGTTCCTTAGTTTTACAGAGATCGTGTTATCCCTTCAATGAGTGTTCGCTAAGTATCTGCATTTCCTGGGCACTGTGTATTCACTGATGGATAAAAAGATGTGGCTCCTGCCCTCAGGAGCTTATGGTCCAGTTTGGAAGAAGGATAGATGAGGGACTGCAGGCAGGTGGCGTGTTTTCCGCTCTGAGACAGTGTGGAGAAGGGGGAAGAGTGGACTTGGAGAGCACACTGCCTGGATCCAGTCTCTCTGCAGCTCCTTCTTAGCTATGCTGCTTAACTCAGAAATTCCTTAGTTTTCTCTAACATGGAGATTGAGACTAGCCACATAATTTTTGAAATGCACAAAATGAAAATGAAAGGCCCTTGCTTAAAAAGTAGGAGTATTAAGAATTTTTAAATGAGAGGACAAAGCATTAAGCCAGGCGTCCTCAAACTATGGCCCGCGGGCCACATGCAGCCCACCTAGGACATTTATCTGGCCATCCGGGTGTTTTTGCTGCCACTGCCTGTCCTGCTTAGCAGCCATCTCATCCTGGGGCCCGCAGTCTGGCCCTCCAACGGTCTGAGGGACAGTGAACTGGCCCCCTGTTTAAAAAGTTTGAGGACCCCTGCATTAAGCCAATCACAAACCCTTTAAAAAGTGGGTCCCTGTGTGATTGCATAGACGTAGAAAGCTGGCTCTAGTGGGGATGGTAAAAGTACCTTTGGCTAGTACCCTGTTGACTATAAAGTGGTTATGAAGATGAAATTGGCTAAAGCACCAACAATAGTAGCTGATATAAACACTCAAAATTAGATGTTATTATTTTATAATTATTATTCTCATCAATAGGCAAAATAATTGGTTATTAAAAGGCTTTTTTGTGTGTGTGTAGAGACAGAGTCTTACTTTATTGCCCTTGGTAGAGTGCCGTGGCATCACAGCTTACAGCAACCTCCATCTCCTGGGCTTAGGTGATTCTCTTGCCTCAGCCTCCCAAGTAGCTGGGACTACAAGTGCCTGCCACAATGCCTGGCTGTTGTTTGTTGCAGTTTGACCAGGGTCCAATCCAAACCCACCACCTTGGTACATGGGGCCAGCGCCCTACCAACTGAGCCACAGGTGCCTCCCTCAAAGGCTTTTTTTTTTAAAGACAGAGTCTCACTCTGTCACCTCAGGATAGAGTGCTGTGACATCTTAGCTCACAGCAAACTCAAACTTTTGGGCTCAAGAGGTCCTCTTGCCTCAGCCTCCTGAGCAGCTGGGACTACAGGTGCCCACCATGACACCCACCTGGTTTTTCTGTTTTTAAGTAGAGATGGGGGTCTCACTCAGATTGCTTGCTCAGACAAGCAATCTACCTGCCTTGGCCTCCCAGAGTGCTAGAATTACAGGCATGAGTCACCAGGCACTCAAAGGCAGTTTATTGTTCACCATGAGAATGATGTTCTGGCTCAGTGCCTATAGCTTAGCGACTAGGGCACCAGCCACATACACCAAAGCTGGCAGGTTCGAATCTAGCCTGGGCCTGCCAAACAACGACAGCTACAACAACAATAACAAAAAATAGCCAGGTATTGTCGAGAGTGCCTGTACTCCCAGCTACTTTGGAGGCTGAGGCAAGAGAATCATTTAAGCCCAAGAGTTTGAAGTTGGTTTGGCACCTGTGACTCAAGTGGCTAAGACGCCAGACACATACACCTAAGGTGGCGGGTTCAAATCCAGCCCGGGCCCGCCAAAGTGACAATGACGGCTGCAACCAAAAAAAGTAGCCAGGCACTGTGGCAGGTGCCTGTGGTCCCAGCTACTTGGGAGGCTGAGGCAGGAGACTTGCTTGAGCCCAGGAGTTGCAGGTTGCTATGAGCTGTGACACCATGTCACTTTTCCAAGGGCAACAAAGTGAGACTCTGTCTCAAAAAAAAAAAAAGAAAGAAAGAAAGAAAAGAAAAGAGAACTGATATTCTGCTTAGAAATCCTGTCTGAACTTTGGGATTGCATATTGAAACAAAGTGCAGTCCCACTTATCAAAGCACAGCCTCCTGCTGCAACAGGAGGATCAAGGCAGCATTTGTGGGGCCAGACCTGTATTTCTCACTGCCTTCTGACCTCCAAGGTCCCCCTCTCACCTGTGAGCTCTCCCACCCTAAGACTGCTTTACCACCTGCATTTGCATCAAGTGAGTGCCTGCATTGTCAGCCTCAGGCAAACAAGATAGACTTGCCCCCCACCCCCATGGGCTACATTCTAGCAATTCCACAACCTAGTTGCTCAGTCAGGAGGATGCTAAAACCTCACTGCTCTCTTCTTGTAGCCAGCCTTGTGACCACCTCAGAAGTGTCTCTTAAACTTGCTCTGGGCTGTGCACACCAAATCTCTCTTTCACTTCCACCAAAAACCCTTTGGATCTTGTCCTTGCTTACTAAGACACAATCTTGTGACCATTTGTCTTGCCCATTAGACAGCTAGACCATGGGTTCCATGCACCAGACTCTTCCTGCACCATCCTGGGTGTCACTCTGTGTGTGCCAGCTACACACTCAATAGTAAGGGCACAGCAACTACTAGCTGAGTGAGCAGGTGCGGGTTATAGGTGGCCTCTCAGAGAACAGCACCTTCTGGCAGACTCCATCTACTATTTGATGGGGGGGGGCGCGTTTCTCTCCCTAATGGCCATTACCACAGGGTGTTTTCACTTCCATATCTGTCTCTCGTGGGTCACACTTGAGCTCTTTAAAGACTGGCGTGTGGCCTGGCTGCCCCAGTGTCACGCAGTTAGCGATGCTCCCTGATTCATACATCAGCCCCGCCACTTGTCTGGCATACAGCAGGCAGGCAGTAAATACTGCCCTGAATCCACTGGCCCCTTTTCATGACTGTTGTCAGCCATCCCCACTACTCGTGCTCTATCAGGTGAGCCCATCCTGGTGAGGGGCTTTAGAAAGCCCACTCATGTTTTCACTCTTGTATTGGTCCCCAAAAGGCAGAAGCCAGCTCTTTTTTGATAATCAAACAACCTTCTTATAGGTGATTATGTTTATAATGTGTATCTAAAATACTTTATTTTTCCTGGAAAAAGTTTTAAAAAAATTCTATTAGAGGAATTTACTATTCTGTTGTTCTGATTTTAATTATAAATATTAATTTCCATGACAAGCACTGTGTATTTTAAAATACTTTTATGGTTTTGTTAATCAGACAAAGAATGTTTGGCTTTAATGTCAGTATCAAAAGGGGGTAGTGGTAATTTTTTAAGTGATACAAGTTTTGTAAGTTGTTTGCTTGATTAAAAAAATATTACTGGGCCAGGCATGTTGGCTCATGCCTGTAATCCTAACACTCTAGGAGGCTGAGGTGGGTGGATTGCCTGAGCTCAGGAGTTCAAGACCAGTCTGAGCAAAGCAAGACCCTATCTCTACTAAAAATGGGAAAACTGGCTGAATGTTGTGGGGGGCACCTGTAATCCCAACTACTCAGCAGACTGAGGCAAGAGGATAGCTCGAGCCCAAGAGTTTGAAGTTGCTGTGAGCTATGATGCTATAGCACTTTATCCTGGGGCAGCAGAGTAAAACTATGTCTCAAAGAAATTTTGTTTTTAGTGAGTGTTTGCTATGAGTAAGCTGTTATTATTTAGACTTTGTGTGAGATTTAAACAAATATAAATTGATTTGGCCAATGCCGATAAGCATGGACCACCCACAGGCCCCATCCATGCTGGTAGAGAGGAGAACAAGGTGATAGAAAGGCCCAGCCCCACAGGAGCTCTCAGCACCCTCCCTGGGCAAGAGACACATTCCTTGGTTCTGAGCTGTGTCTAAAGAGTTATCTTAAAGTGACCTGGACAAGTTGGAAGAGGCAAAGGTAGAGAGTAGCAGAGTGTTTCATAGAGGAACATCTGTCTGTATTTGTTATCAATTGCTGTATATCAGATTACCCCTGACTTAGCAGCAGCTTCTTTTTTTTTTTTTTTTTTTTGAGACAGAGTCTCATTTTGTCACCCTGGGTAGAGTGCTGTGAGTTCACAGTAACATCAAATTCTTAGGCTCAAGCAATACTCTTGCCTCAGCCTCCCTGGTAGCTGAGACTACAGGCACCTGCCACAATGCCTGGCTATTTTTAGAGACAAGGTCTCACTCTGGCTCAGGTTGGTCTCGAACTCCTGAGCTCAGGCAATCCACTCACCTTGGCCTTCCAGAGTCTAGGATTATAGGTGTGAGTCACTACACCACACCACACCTGGCCTGAGCATCTCTAAACAATAGCCATTTGTTCTCCACACTGGTTCTGAGGGCCAGGATTTGGGAGTGGCTTAGGTGATTGGTTCTAGCTGCTGTCATCCAAGAGCTCACTCATGTGGTGGTTGGCCAGGCTATGCTTCATGCTGGCTCTTGGGCTGAAGGCCTCAGTTCCTTGACACTTGAGCCTCCTTACAGGGCTATCCAAGTGTCTTCAAGACATAGCAGCTGGTTTCCCCCACACCAATGTGGAGATTATGTATGGGTGTGAATACATGGATGTGGGGGCCATTGGGGACATCTTGGAGTCTGGCTACCCCACACTCCTCTGTCTGGGAGGATAAGAAATGTGCATGATGGTATAGCCACTGCCCAGGGCATGGTCAGGTCTAGAGTGTTTCCAACAGGGTGACATCTCTGGCTAGTGTTCATTTAGGGGACTGGTAGGATCCCTGCTTTTGTTTCCAGGGTGAGTCATGTTTGAGATTCATATGGACCTATGTTCTCTTCACTCTATACAGTGTGCAGTGTTGCACTGTTTACATTATAATTTGTAAGTAATATGGTAATGCAATTATAACCATAATTAATATCATTGTATATGTTATTATAATTAAGTAAAATCTGAGAGGTTTTTATTTCTGGTTGTTTTAGACAGAGTCTCACTTTATTGCCCTTGGTATAACCGAGTGCCATGGGGGTCATAGCTTATAGCAACCTCTAACTCTTGGGCTCAAGCAATTCTCTTGCCTCAGCCTTCCGAGTAGCTGGGACTATAGGCACCCACCACAACGCCCAGCTATTTTTAGAGGCTGGGTCTGGCTCTGGCTCAGGCCAGTCTCGAACCTGTGAGCTCAGGCAATCCACCCACCTCGGCCTCCCAGAGTGCTAGGATTACAGGCATGAGCCACTGTGCCCGGCCTAAGTGAGATATTTTCTTATAACCAAAGTTTAAATCGTAAAGGTTAAGCAATTTTCAAGACAAGTCATGAACTGGATCATATAGGATGACTCATTTGGATAATATAAATTAATTAATAACTCAGTTGAATATTTTTCTTTCAGGTGTGTTTTGATTGTGGCGCCAAAAACCCTAGCTGGGCAAGCATAACCTATGGAGTGTTTCTTTGCATCGATTGCTCAGGGACACACCGGTCACTTGGTGTTCACTTGAGTTTTATCCGGTAAGTGAATCTTCCCTTATGGTGGGAATGATTTCATTATTATAGGGGTGTTCTTTCCCTTTTTCCTATAGTTTGCTTTGACATCAAGTAAAATGACAAAACAACAGGTTAATTGCTAGGTTTGGGGATTTAAATCTTATACATAGTATTATTAAGTGAACTGGGAAAGTTAGTTATTTTCTTTTCAGTTACTATTCCATATAGCCCTATACTGTTCTATATAGTTAAAGATGTGAGGCAGGGACATCAAAGACAAAGTCAGAATAGAGGGTGTGAGACGGCAGTTCCTTCACCTTTATGGTTGTTATTATTTGGATACTTTTCCCCTCAGAAACTCACGTTGAAATTTAATCTTCAGTATGGCACTATCAAGAGGTGGGGCTTTTAAAAGGTGATTCAGTCACAAGGGTCCTGCAACCCTATGAATGGGTTAATGGATTAACAGATTCATGGGTTACGGTGGCAGTGGGACTGGTGGCTTATTTAGAAGAGGAAGAGAGACCTGAGCTTACTTACCGAGCTCTCTGACCATGTGATGTCCGACACTGCCTTGGGTCTCTACAAGGAGTCCCCACGAGCAAGAAGGACCTTACTACATGCAGCCCCTTAACCTTGGACTTCTCAGTCTCCATAACTGTAAGGAATAAATTCCTTTTCTTTATAAATTACATAGTTTCAAGTTTTTTGTTATAAGAAAATAGACTAAGACAGTTATCGTCTTTTTTTTTTTTTTTTTTTGAGACGGAGCCTCAAGCTATCCCCCTGGGTAGAGTGCCATGGCATCATGCTCACAGCAACCCAACTCCTGGGCTCAAGCGAGTCTCCTACCTCAGCCTCCCAAGTAGCTGGGACTACAGGCGCCCGCCACAACGCCCGGCCATTTTTTGGTTGCAGCCATCATTGTTGTTTGGCAGGCCCGGGCTGGGGATTCGAACTCGCCACCTTAGGTGTATGTGGCTGGCGCCTTAGCCACTTGAGCCACAGGCGCCGAGCCGACAGTTATCTTCTAATAATCTGCCAGTACCAAGTACACATTCATGAGAGAAGGGTATTCTGGTGCACCCCAGCCAAGGTGAAGGGTTCGTGTACACTGGGGGAGGCCCTGCTTGTATCAGTCTCATGTCCACCATAATCCTGCAGCTCTAGCTCCTGAGGACACTGATAACATAAGACCTGAGGAAATGATTTCTATATGATTTTTAGTGACAGTTTTGAATTTTTGTAACATAAGATCTTTCTTCTCACTATCTGAACACCTGGGCTGCACTGGCCCCTCTGGCAAGTAAACTGTCTTCTGCTTGTCACACTCTGCAGTGGGAGTGTACACAGGGCCTTCGTGTGCATCAGAAGAAGGTGCCCCACGGGACAGACACAGCCCCACAGTCCAGTGGGGAACAGGAAATATTGGGGTGAAGTAAAATAAATTTGAAACAACAGAAGAAATGCTAAAAGGTCCCTCAGCCATGCTCAGAGCTGGAACCTAAGCACGGCCTGCGTGTCAGCTGTCGGGGGCCCTTCTGCAGGGTAGCATTGAGCAGCTGCCGCTCGGCGCTGTGCCACTGACGCTTCCTCAGCCATTCCACTCATTTCCCTGCCTCTCCTCCTTTCAGGGAAGGAACCAGCTAGGCTGGCTGTTTAAACTGCAGCAAGTAATTTTATTTTATATGATGACTTAAGGAAGGAATATTGATATAACACAATTACTGTAAAAGAGTATTTGTTCTATAAGATAAAATCTATTATAATTCATGAGATATTTTGTACGATAGCATAAAAGCTGTATAATGGCAATTATAACATAGTTTCCTTTTTTGATAAATTAAAATGACTTTCCTGGTACATAGAATTCTTTTTCCAGAAATCAGTTTATAGGGCAGGCACTGTGGCTCACGCCTATAATTCTAGTACTCTGGGAGCCCAAGGTGGGTGGATTGCTTGAGCAAAAGCAAGACCTCTATGAAAAATAGAAAAACTGAGGCAAGAGGATCGCTTGAGCCTGAGTTGGAGGTGGCTGTAAGCTATGATGTCCTATACCCAGGGCAACAGCTTGAGACTCTGCCTCAAAAAAAAAAAAAAAAAATTAGTTTGTAAAGGCATGATGAGCTAACATGATGGGCTAACAACCACCGTGTAACTCAGGTAATTATTTAGAAAAGGTAGTTATTTTGTGTGTTCTTACTGATTTTGAAGTGTCTACAGTTTCTTTTCTTTTTTTCTTTGACTTTGGTCTCAGAATATTTTAAATGCACTACTCTGTTCTTGTCTCTTTTTAAAATGTTGAGGGATTTAGTTGCCAGGCAAGTTTATTTACTTCTTTCAATTTTTTCTTTTCTTTTTCCTAGCAACAGGGTCTCTGTTGCCCAAGCTGGAGTGCAGTGAAACCATCACAGCTCACTGCGGCCTTGAACTCCTGGGCTTAAACAGTCTTCCTGCGTCAGCTTCCCAAGTAACTAGGATTATAGTCATGCCTCACCATGCCCAGCTAGTTTTTTTTAATATTTTGTAGAGATGAAGTCTCACTATGTTGGCTAGTCTGGTCTTAAACTCTTGGCTTCAATCAGACATCCCACCTTGGCCTCCAAAAGTGCTGGGATTATAGGCACAAGGCATGACCTGGCCAGTATTGTCTTTTGATGATGCACAAAATTTTCTAATTTTGGTGAAGTTCAGTTTGTCTGTTGGACTTTTTTGTTGTTGATACTTGTGCTCAGGTGTCATATCCAAGAAATCATTGCTAAATCCAGTGTGTCATGAATCTTTTGCCTTATGTTTTCTTCTGAGAATTTTGTAGTTTTAGGTCTTACATATAAGTCTTTGATAAATTTTGACTGGATTTTTGTTTATATGTTAGGTAAGAGTCCAGCTTCATTCTTTTGAAGTTTTCCAGCATGCTTGGTTGAAAAGACTGTCTTTTCCCCAGTAAGTCATGCTTATTTTTGATGGATGTTTTCCCCCCATATTCATCACTATCAGTTAGCTTATGGTGACTCCTGTAGCCAGAGCAGGTGAAGACTAGATTCAAAGATAAAACATATTTGGTTTTCTTCCTTTCTTTTTTTACTGTGTTCTTTCCCTCTTTATCTCTGCCACGTCTCTCCCATTATAATGTGGGTCTCCCTCTTTCTCACCACTTTAAGCCATTCCAGGAAATCAGGTGGTTTTCTGATGTGTTCCTTGTTGAGGGAGAAATGGACCTAGAGCCTGAGGAGGCTGAACAGCAGGATCTGTTTGGGCCTTTGTAGGTTTTATTACTAGCCTCTTAAAACTCAGATAAATAGAACTTTATGAATCACAAGGCTAAATGATTCAAAAACAACACTTAAAATTCACTGTATAACCAGAGGGGAGCAGTCTAGGATTTGGGTAAGAGAAAGTCAAAGATGAGAAGGTACTCGATACCTGTTTGGGTTTTTTTTTTTTATTTGTTTATTAAAGGTAGGGGAGTACTCTTTAAACATTTTTTATTTATTTAATAAAACTGAAAATATTTGCTTCCTGGGAAAAAATCCAAGCAGTCTCAAAGTATATAAAGAAAGAAGTGGAAGTCCCCCCCCTAGAATCCTTTTCCCATCTTCTTCATCCATTCACCAGCTCCCCCAACTCGCCCCAACACATGCACACTCAGAGTCCCATTTCCCAGGCATGACCAGGGTTAATAGTGGCTTGGGTAGAGTGTTTATTTAATTAGAGCCTGCTTTTTAGGTAAAATTTCAACTTAACAATTTGACAAGGGAAATAGTAATTTATAAACTACAGCTTTTGCCACAAGAAAGTGGTGAGGGCAGGTTTGGAATATGTAGAAATGGCAAGCTGCTTTGGAAGCTCCAGTCTCTCTAGCTCTCTTTTTCCTCAGGTTTGCTGTTAAATATTTCATGAGTTTATTAAAGGCGAGTGGTCTGGGCTCAGTGGCTCGTGCCTATAATCCCAGCCCTGGGCACTCAAAGCAAGAATCATACTACTAAGCCAAGAAGCCAGTGCATCCTAGCACTTTGAAAGGCCCAGGCAGGAGAATCCCTTGAGGCCAGGAGTTTAAGACTAGCCTAAGTGACATAGTGACCCCATTTCTACAAAAAATTAAACAGCCAGGCATCCCAGCGTGGATGTGGCTGTCATCCCAGCTACCCTGGAGGCTGAGGCAGGAGGATCGATTGAGCCCAAGAGTTAGAGGTTGCTGTGAGCTATGCTGATGCCACTGTACCCTAGTTGGGGTCACAGAGCAAGACTCTGTCTCAAAAAACAAAACAAAAGTCTTAAATTAGTTATTGGCTTTAAAATAACTTCTTAACATTTACTAGGGTTAAACGTTAGGCATTAGGCATAGAAATTAGAAAATGGAAGGGCAGTGTGAACAGATGTTTTCAGATCTTGCTTTCTTTTCTCCCCATCTTGCGTGTTTTGTTAAGGGTGTTCTGCCCATACCCATTCCACAGTGTCCACATTCCTTTACAGTTGGGTAGTGCAGGGCAAGCTATTGTTGAGTAATGGGGTAGCCTTGCTTTTTGCTCACACCTGTGGGTTCTGAATAGACAGTTGGTTGCTCTAATCAGATCTTTCTTTCCGTCAGCCCCTTGGAGAATGTATGCTATGGGGGCCACACTCAACGCCTTGCTCTGGTTTAATCTTACACTGGGGGTGCGTGTAGTGTCACAGGAGAGACGGGCAGGAGGCTCTGGCAGCTTTCATGTAGGAGCATTAAAGCTTTCACTTTCTCCCCACCCTGCTCAGGGTGATGTGGGCTAGGTCCCTTCTACCAGGCAAGGAGAGTATGAACATCTTCCAGGCACCTAGTAGGGGTCGAACTGTTCAAATAGGTGGCTGAGCTGAGAAAATCCAAACACTGCCTCTATTTTGAGTAGAGCCATGTTACCAAATTTTAGATCATAACCCACCAAACATAAGAGGCGAAGAGTTGGGATTCTGTAGCCTCATGAAGCTATTCGTGTCCCTCTGCTCTAGAGGAGGCTGAATCAGTGAGGCAGAAGTGCTGCTGGCCTGGCACTGCCTGCCAGTGGGCAGGTGCACAGGACGGCAAGCTTTCAGGGGCTCGCCTAGAAGAGGGCTTCCAGGAAGGATGAGAGAGGCTGTCATCCACTCTGGAGACCTGCGGTGTGTCTCCTGTTACCACAGTTAGAATTCTTTAGGCTCCTAAAGCTCAGAGAAAGTTTGTCCTCAAAAGCTTGGTGGTTGCATTCTAAGGAAGACAAGCATTAACATTTAGGAATATTCTTTCCATTTAGGTCTACAGAGCTGGATTCTAACTGGTCTTGGTTCCAGTTGCGATGCATGCAAGTTGGAGGAAATGCTAACGCAGTAAGTTCTTCTGACACTTGTCATTTTCTCCTT